ACTTGTCCACCAGGTTTCCAGGACCTCTCAGTCACAACTTAAACTCGTAGACTACTCAACCACTGAGACCCGATCCAGTGGCTCATGAATTCCAACTTCTATCAGTTCTCGATTTCGGCCACAGGAAGAATTTGTCTGAAGTCCCAGTGAGAAGTCGTGACCAGTAGGATCCACTATGTCGGAAGTGAGGACAGATACTCGCCGGTGACGCTGGATGCTGGCCACTCCAAAATCACAAACTGTTAGAAGTTGGAATTGATGAGCCACTGTATTGGGTCTCAGTGGTTGAATGGACTACGAGCTTAAGTTGTAACCGAAAGATCTTGGGTTCGAAACCCAGTGGGCGAGCACTGGTGAAGAGTCCCAAACTAGGACGAAAAAGTTGTCCGGTACTGCCTGGCTTCCCCAGTGGTTCTCTAACTGATGTCAAACCTTGATCAAGCTTGAAGTGATTCAAATCTTTACAGTCTAACTGTTCAACGCAGCTACTTTGTTGATGTATTGAGTTGTAAGACGCCGTATAAGAGAGGAAAACTACGTAATGTATACACAAGACTTCATAATTAGATGTAAACGTTTAAATACAAAATGTACGTATATATATATGTATATATATATATATATATATATAACTGCAATCTGATGACGATGAGGACGTAGCTATCTAAAACTAATTATGTGGATTGAAATCTATCCAGAAAGTGTACAATTCTGACAAAGCCCTGCTAATCATTTATTTCCATTCCTTGTGTTCTAAGTGAAACATGAAGCTTCACGCTTTTTGAATCTTCAGTAGCACTTGTGTTGTTTTCATTGGGTTGCAATGTTATGCTCACATCCAACTTTCACCCCTCTCTAGACCTACTATCATCCAGTAAACTATATGAGTTTTAAAAGTGAGTCGACTATGACTATTCACTTGGCTGGGAAGTATTCTATCATTGAACCACCCACTTAATATTATCTACTGCTCTTACTACAATTTTAGATTATATGTAAGAAAACTTCAGCCACAAAGAATTTCATACCTAAATTTTGCGCTTACCAGCACTGATTACGCAAGTTTCGAATCGGAAGGAAACTCAAGCATATGTCAGATTTAAGGATGCAGAAGTACTACACGAAAAATTATTATTAATGAAGTAGATTGTTTGGAATTTTAGAGTGTCACATTCTTTCACTTATATATATATATATATATATATATATATACGTAATACTAAAACTGAAAAAGACTTTTCACAACTTTGCTATGCAAATCTACTTCTACTATTATTATTTGCATTTATCGTCTGTAACATTGTTTCACTTCGACAGGCAGATGAATCAATTGATTTTAGGCGTTCACTTTGCAAAGAAGCAACAAAAAATAACGAACAAGCAAACCAAATGAAACAATCGTATTTCCTACGAACAGGATACAATTTTTTCCAGATTTCAAAAAGCACTAGGTGAGAACTATATTATTATTATTCTCAGATCACACAAGTGAATATTCAGTAATGTCATTTCGATATAATTTAGTCAGCAGAAACATGGAATCTATTAAGCTGAAAGTTGAGAAATTTCTTTCGGTGTAGAAAAGCATTGACTAGAGAGAATCGATCATATGTCATTATTAATTAATCTACCCTCAAAAGATTACTACTACTATTTTCTATGGGATTTCATGATAAAATTTAGAGTGTTATAATGAAAAAATAATACTGTGTAGGCAATTTTCAATAAGGAAAAAAAATAGATAAGATATAAACAAGTAACCATAATGATAAATTGTATGCAGAAAAAAGAAACTATTAACACGAATCAATTTGAAAATCAATCCTGTGAGCTTCCTTAACCTTAGGACAATTATGGAAAAGTTTCTTCTTTTTCCTTAGTATGTTGTGGTGAATTTTACTGTTTTCACACTTATTTTCTGAGTTTCTTCTCTCTCTTTCTCTTTCAATCACTCTTCAATATACCCTAAAGATTTTCTGTCAACCAATGATGTCATTAACAGCCAACAGGAGTAAAAGTGTGACATTATTACAAGAATTGCCAGACAAATCTGAATCAGATTATTAAAGGCTAACATGAATCTCTGAAATAAGAAGCCAGGGATTTTTAAATTAATGCTGTGACATACAAAATAAGTATGTCAGTAACTGTACTAAGAAAGTGTTTCGGGGGTAAGAAAAAGGGTTGAAAAAAGGTAATGAAGTATGCTTTGCGCTACAAGATTTACATTCTGTACATCAGTAAAACGTAAGAAAGATAACTTTATACGAACATTCTTGTTGCTTGTGTTTCACTGTGGTGTGAGTTTAATAATACCAATTGAAAGGAGAAGCTGGCGTCAGTCTTCAAAATAAACAAATTATACATTGATTGGACACCAGTTAGAGAATAATGTCATGCGTTTAGTCTTTCGTCCGTTCCAGACTGAATTCTGTCAGTCAGCTTTACAATATGGTTACCATGCTAGGTTGGTCACCATCACGATGCTCTCCGAATTGCTTTTAAACGGCTACAGGTGATCGATAGGAAGCCGTGAACCTACATTTTTCGATCTGAATTATGTGTATAAGAGGTAGATAACTAATCATTTCGTCCATTTTTGATTATTATTTTTTCCCTCGCCTCTGGGTTAGGCCATCTGCCTTCTAATGAATTTATGCAGTTTGCCACTTTTGCACAAATAAAAAGGCCACACACACTGTCGTTGAATTATGCGTTAATAAAAAACAAACAATGAGTAGCATAAAAGCAATAGACAAATTAATTAAAATCTTTTCAGGTTAGCTAATCATATATGAAGCTAGCGCACTGTATATAAGCATATATATATATAATCAAAAAACAGTTGGAGGATCAAAATAAGACCTAGATTAATTTTCACAAAACAGAGTCAACTGACTGGTTTCAACGTAGAACTTTGCACAGATGTGCAGCAGTTTGAGTTGCCACACTCCTTCCTTATAGCACACAAAGCAAGGGAATAGAGTTAAGACAGGTTCAAAAGAGAGATAATAAACAGAAATGTGAGACAAAAAGAATAGCAACATCGAAGAACAATAGAACTTTATTGGATATGTTAAATCACAAAGACTGGATGCATCTGCGCCATTGAGAATGATTTTGAGCCATATCACCAACTGTCTCCAACCATTGGTTTTTATCTTCCCGAAGACCCCAACCAGGCAGTCTACACCTTCCTACGTGGCTGGCTTAAACTAACTCTTGTGGATTTCATTGACTGATGAAGCCATGTTTTGGTTTGATCACCACTGGCTCTTTTCAAGCCTGACCCTATGTCGGCTATCATTGCTCAGTGACGAGGGCGATGGCTAGGCATGTGTAAGACACGTTCTAACCACCTGAATCAGTGTGACTTCACAACCCCGTCGATTGATTACCCCTCCTTACGTTGCAATCCACGCCTAACCGCAGTATTACTCACCTATTGCGACACTTAACGAGGGTGATAGAAAGCAGGCACCTATGATCAAAGACAGCTAGCTGGTCTTTTGATGTCTCCCACTTTCAGTGGTCATGTCACTCAGCCATAAAAGAGGATGGAGCGAACTGCTGAGCAGTACACACGCCCTCTGATTGACAATCAGCAGGATATCACGTCTAGTAAATCAGAGATGGCGTAAGTTGGCATGCGCCAAACGAGCCTTCTGTATCCGTGCTGAAATTTCGTCAGTGATTAACCTGATGATGCTGGTTGATGCAACTTTCCAGTAGTATCGAAATATAATTTACAGCAGGAAACTATGAAGATAAAACGAAGGACAAAGTATAGGTAACAAAGCAAAAGGATTAGAGTCAATGTCAAACAAAATAGAGTATTGAAACAATGAACACGTTTATTTATATTTTCAATCAGTCGAGTTATTTCAAGAACTTAACTCTATGCTGAAAAACTTAGACTAATTCATTTAATTTTCCGCCTAGTTAGTTATCTTGTTTTATTCTTATACACAATCAATACTACAATAGTTTAATCCCTACAGGAACCTGTTGCAAAAGATTTTAGTGTTTTAAAGGCTTTATCTGACCACTATTATTATACCGATTGTACAGGTACTCTTCAATACTACACGGACTTCTAATATGTTGTAATTCGTAGTTGTTGACTATAATGGTATACCTCTTCACCGATCAGCTGGCTTGAATACAAACAAGATAAAAGAAGTATCCGAATCTTCGCAAAATTTGCTGGTTCTAAGTAGCGGAAAATTAAATTTCAATTTACAGTAATGAAAATGGACGACTGGCTGTAGAATAAACAGCCATTTAGAAGGTGGATTCAAATAGGAGTTATTCAGAATGCAGCTCATATAATATGTAATATGTATATAAATATATATATGTATGAAGCTCTTGAAAAATAACGCGAGGTTACGAGTGATTTTCTGTTGGTATTAAGACAGATTTAGTCAAGTCAAGTGAAGTTTACCCCAACATCTTAAAGCATGAATCAGTTTTCTGTTTTGCTTTCACTACAACTACTTCTATTATAATTACTATGAGCATTTGCATATTTTCAGTTCTTATTCTGTCGCATAAACTACAACAGAAGTAGACCATGTCTCAGCCTGAAATTCGCTGACCAAAATAAGAGAAAGGACCAATTATTAGCGTATTCCTTAAAAAATATCTAATAAAAAACTTAACAGGCAGTTGATGCAGCTAGTAAACCACGTTTCATGTGGTAATCAGTTGAATAATGATTGAGCGGCGAGCTTGTACACTGCTAACAAAATGTACCACTAATAAGCTAAAGAAATTTTTTTCTCTTAGATTTAAATGTAAAGTGCAACTGAGAGCTTCATGCTTGTAAAAATATCTAAAGTTCCAGTTTCTTCTCTACTGTTAACAGAATTATACATAAGTTGGTAAATTATCACGTTTGTTATAGTATCATTTTTTGTCAAAGTTATAGACTTCTTAACAAGGTGTTTTATTTGATAATTCTTAAATTATAGCAGTAAGAATTCATCAGTTCTTACCTGTAAATTCGGCAGCGCATTCATTTCTTCCAAGAGACACTGTGCCATTGGAAGATTTAGTTGATTAACAGCCAAATGTAAGGGAGTTTGCTGCACTGAGTTCCTTGAATTTATATTTGGAATGTCTTCCCCATCGAAAAGATTGTTGTCATCAGCTGCTCCTGGAGAGTTATCATCCAAATCAACAAGATTTCCTTCATTTACGTTATTCTCTTCAGAAATATCTACAATTCTTGCCACTCTATCAATGTTTGATCTCATCAGGTATCTTACGACATCAAGATTTCCACTTCGTGCTGCTGAATGAATTGCTTCGTTATCTGCAGAATCCAGATTCCTTCGCCTAGCCCCATTCTGTAGTAATAAAATAACGCATGCTAAATGGCCTTCTTGACAGGCCGCATGAAGGGCCGTCAGTCCACCAGATGTTCCATTTACCTGCACACAAAAAAATCACCCAAAGTGATGAACTGTACATAGGAAAGATGAATGAAACCGGTCTTCAACTTACACAGTTAAAATACAGTATTTAAGGAAAGATCCTTTTTAGAGACATTTAGAAATATCAAAATAAGAAAAGATTGGGAGTTATTCAAACAGTTCATCAAAAAAAATCAGGTTTCATTATGATGGATCAGCCTGGAGAATCGAAACGTTGAAATCCTATTCAGAAGTCAGATGTACAAATAATTTCGGTACAATAAAAATGTTCATCATGACGTTTTCACTTTGTTATCATTATGCATAAAAAGTTGAAAATGACTCGGGAGAGATCTGCAGAAGTAAAAATAACGTAGCTATCGTGTATCATTAGTGGTTAGTTTTGAAAAATCCTTTGTGTAAAAAAAGACACCAGGTTGAATGCCTTTTAGTTGTCAAGATTATTTTAAATTTAAGCATTTATACTGCCCAAATAAAATAATCTTATGTTTTCAAAACTTGCAGCAATCTTTACTACCGTTTTCCATTTGTTCTTACGATATTGTTTACCTAAGTGACAGAGAATATGAAAAGGAGAACTATGTGTTGTTCTCCAAGCTCCCTAAGAGATTTAGACCGCTGTCGCGCAGTACTAAAATCAAGGCCGCGATCACTAGGGATAATTGGATCATTTACTCTACTTTACTTGATTCAATCAAAAACTTGAAACAGTTCTAGGGAATCCAAAATGACCCCTTCCAATTGGATATCGAATACCACAGAATACCAAAAAGCATCATTTTTCTTGACTGTAAAAGTCTTACTAATTAGCATTGAATGCAGTAAATATAACTCCATAGCCAGTCACCAACATTTTTAGCTGTAATTTCTATCAAAACATGGATCTACACCAAAATACATGTCAAAATTCATAATTTATTAATGTCGCTATTTCGGAATCACACTATATGACATGTGATTTGATACTCAAATATGTGTTGGTTTGAAGTTGTGCCTTGAGAGTTGTTTAAAAACATTCTTGTTTTGGGTCAGAGTATTCTGTAACTCTAAAGACCTTCACGACCTGATTACAGAGTGAAACAATTTAAAACTACTAACCGGACTTATCAGTGGTGCGTGAACTGGGAGGAAAGAATATCATATATATATATATATATATATATATATATCGTAATGGAAACCTGTAGAATTGATTTTATGGAGGTTGCTATAATATACACTCTTCCGTTTCCAGGGCTACAAAAAGAAACACAGGAAATCAATAGTGAAGTATGAAAAAAGTAATCTGTCTTGATAACTAGTGTTTATGCATTAAAAAGAGTTCGTCAATAAATACCAGAAAATACTCTTTCTTCCATTTATTCAGAGTATATACTGCGGCAAATAATCAGACATATACACACATTTCTTAATCTGTTTTTCTTCTCCTGATTCTGCTTCAAATGTCGATTTTACTACTTTACATTTTTGCAGCACGTTACTTTATTTTTAAAAAGTGATTAGAATCTTTAACATGTTTCACTAGTTCAATAATTAATTATCACTTCTAGAGTATGTTATCTCTTCCGATTAAAAGTTCACGTACGCATTTGCGCTTTTTTTCTCTTTTACATAATTTGTATTTCAGTAGATAACTTTGTGCAGTTCATTTTTACATAAACTGCGTTATTCAACTTCGCCACTGACTCAAATCGACTGGTGTCCCATATCATAAAAATCAAATTGCGTACTTTGATAAATGTATTATTAAGCAAAATTCTTGTTTGTCTACTATTCATACACTTAAATTGTCTGTTTACCTTTTAATATTCTGTCAAGTTTTATTTATCAGTTGAGTAAACAGATAGAGACAGTAATTAGTAAAACAGTGTAATGAAATTCTCCAGCCAAGAACTAATTACATAATAATGACCTCATTTTTGATGTATACAGACTCCAAATCATATGCAACAGAGTTTCATTTCAAAGGATGATTTATTATAATTATTCTCTTAGGTCCCAAGTGGAATATGGGGTTCCAACAGCACATCATTTCATCCTGTTTTCTTCGGTCCTCTTTAACTGGCCCCGAGAATGTCCGTAAGCTTTCATCTTCTCCTCACATGATCATCTCCATTTGACCCACAGACATTCAACTCCTCATTTCCTATTTGGGTTCCACTAGACGGCCTGGCGCGTGATATCACTCCAACTTGTCCTCAGTGTGTATCCGATCCACCTCCAATTTCTTCGGCATATTTTTGGGTAATAGAAAATTATTTGGTTCATTTACAACACTCCTTACTGCTAATCCATTCTGGCCAGTCATGTAATCGATATTAAGCGAAGGCAGCTGTTGATAAAGTTCAGAAGTCTGTACAAAATGCTTTCGATGACGTGCCGAGTCTCTGAAGCATACACGAGAACTGACTTGAAAATCCGAAACTTGTTCTTTATGCTTAGTGAAGCAGATTTCCACAGTGATTTCAAAGTAATGAAGGTTTGACTTGCTTGGCTTTGACGTCTTCATCCATGACACATGTAGCTGAAACAATGCTCCTTGGATAAGTGAGAGTGACCACCTTCACTGAATTCATTTTGTTGATAGTTATTGGTGCTTGTCGTTGTTGATTAGGTATTTTCAACATAGGATATTTTAACTGTGATAAACTGTTAATAAAGTAATTACGCTAATTATTCTGTGAACCAAAGTCAAAGATAATTAATTTGCGGGGAAAAATGATATTCATTTGCTGCTGAATACTGAAACCATTTAAGTATTCTGGACAACTTAAATTAGGTATACAGTTAATTACTTTAGGATAACTTGGTTGATATAAGTAATGCACTGCAGTGCCAATTTAAGTAGAATGACGGTAATTTTCTAAATGTTCCAACAGCTGGATTTACAATCACCTCATAATAAAGACACACTTAAATGTATATCATCATTCTGGCAGGCACGTTAGACCTAAGCTGATAAGTGTGATTAGTTCTAGTGGCAATTTTATATTGCAAAAAGAAATTGATAACCTGAAGAATATACTGTTTTGTTAACTAATATCACTTCTACTTCTTAAAGGTGGTGGTGCATTAGATAAAGGTTTGTTTTTTTACTAAAATGTTCTAGAACATATTTAAAGTGTGTTGTTACTGAGGTTAGATATAGCCCATTTCAGGATACACAATATTTTATGTAGGTGGATAAAGCGAATAATGATGCGGCCACTTTAAATCGGCAATATTAAATTGGACAGCCGAATATTTCTAGTGATTCCAGATGAACTATATCCCTTTTATTTATTTAACAGTTGAAATCAGCATCAAGTGATTTAGAGTATTTCTAGATCAAACACTTCTGACTTGTTCGTAAAAAGAAAAGCTTAATTTCTTTATCAATGATTTAGGAATGGTTTTTACACCTAAAAGAAGAATAGGAATTTCTTTATCTCAAGTCGGTTTTCTTTGTCATTTTTACTGGGTTAAAAACAATTCTGTCAATACAGCATCAAGATGGTTTACTTCATTTAAATGCAATTTGTCATAGGGAGCAGAAACCCCACCTCAAATCTATCGAGAAAAATTTACTCACTGACTGCCTAATGACTTTCCAAATTACTCTCTGTTAATTTATCTGTTGAATATTCTATATTTATAGCGTATAAATTACATTGCTGTCTATAAATAACGATTTTTTAATCAATCAGAAAAAAAGAGCCTTCATCATATACGGATTGATTGGTAGTTTTTTGTATTCTGATATCAGTTCAGTCAGATCTTGTAGGAGAAACACAGTTTTTTCTTGAGGTATGATCACTGAAATAAGTGATCAGTCAATGCACTTAAGAGATGAATTAGCGTCACTCTCGTTTTCGCTTATCGATTAAATAGGCAATCAGTTGTATGATAGTAATACAAACAGTTTAACGATCACAACACTGTTTTATACTAAGAATGATCTGCTAGCATTAAACCTTTATTACTGACAACTCACATCTGCATTTTGATTTTGCAGAAGGCACCTTAAGCGATCTACATCTCCATCTCTTGCTGCTTGAATCAAATCTTCAGAGCCATTATTTTGACGTGGAGCAGTCAAAATATCTATTAAAAAACAATATAATAATCAGGAAATTAGATAAAATACAACATATTAATTAGATTGAAAATAACAAACGCCTCTGAAAGACTTATAAAGTCAATTAACACCATCTGAAAATTAACAGTAGAATTTGTAAAGAAACGGAACAGTAAAGACAATATTTTTCGCAATTTCACTTCAAAGCTGTACAGTTATATAGTGTTATGGAAACGCCGATAAAGAAATTGTCTGTAAAATCTGAAATTCTTGTGCGACACAGTAGTTGGAATTCTTCCAAGCACATTATCAAATGTAGTTCGAAAAACACCATTAACCACATGTCTTTGTCACACTTTCTTCACACAACCACTTGTTAATCAAAATTTTAGGGACAGTATCCCACTACTAGCAACTTTCATGTGCATATATCACTTCACTTGTTCTTGTGGAGCTAAATATATCGGACATACATGTGGGATATTGCCTAGATGTGCTCAAGAATATCTCCCAATATTGTTATCGAAAAACGAAATCAGACGTGCCAACAGTTGAAAGCTTGAGCACCTTGTTCTTACATATCATCTGAGAGAAGTAGGGGAATCTTTCGAAATAATATATAAGGCAAGGCCACATCGTTCGAAGGGTTTCCAGCCACATCTTTCCTTGACAACTAAAGCTGTTGTTGTGCACAAGGTAAGCCCTGAACTGTGTATATAGAAGAGATTTTTCCAATCACTTTTACTACCATGGTCTTAAACCTTTTTCTAATTTGTAAAGTAACTTTGTATGTAATCTATATTTATTCGTTTTTTTCTTTTCAAACTCCAAACTTGATGCATATTCTGAATCTCTTGCTTGAATAAACAATATTTTGGATTTCAAGCACTTGTAGTTTTCTTTAATTGGTTTGGAAGGATTAGTTTTGTTTTTACGAGTTGATCATGGATTGATATCAGTTAAAAAACCATTGAAAACCAGTGAGTACTGGACAGCATGTCCAATACTCCCTGGTTTTTAGATTAAGCAAGACTACTTAACTAATTTCCATGATTTTCTCATTATTTTTCCTGATGTTTAATTTCATATGTTTTGTTACCAACTGATATTAACAATTTCTCCTTGTAGGCGTTTCCACGTCGTTTTAGAAAGCTACTTACCTGCAGAGCTCGGAAGTGAAGTCACAAAAAGAGTATTCTTTGCTGACCTACATCTTTTTTACTTATATCACATGGATGTTTTTCATTCTTTAGAGATATAACATAGTAATAGTGGTCACTTTGGTCCTATAATTTCCTAGCGGTACAAAGAGATAGAAATACAACTCAAGAGATCAATCATCAATTAGGTTGACCATGAGAACTTCACGTTGACAACTACCAGATTCAACAATGAACACAATAAAAGTTAGGCATATTATAAAGTAACTTTATCTTTTAAAAAATTTGATCACATAAAGGCATATAAAAATCCACAGTCATGTACACATATAAAAACCTAAAAGTTTGGTGATGGCCAAATGTCTTCAGTGATACTTGGAAAAATGTTTTTATTACGGCTTCTGATTTTGCCACAGTAAGAACTGGGACAAAGTAAAAAATTTCAGGAATACTCAGACGGTCATACAGATCAATGGTTCTCAGCATAGAACTATAAATCTTAGTTCCTACACGATCAAACAATTCAGGAAGTAACTATAGAAATTATGAGAGATACGATTTTGAGTGAATTTTACACCTAGAAGATAAAATCAATTGTCCTTAATGCAGAAAGAGCACTATCACGGGAAAATGGGTTCAACGGTTCCACATTTTCACTTGCTGTTTTTGAAGGAAGAAATGATTTTTACACGAACACTAAACAAACAAATCACGGAAAAAATAGATACGGTGCGAAGTGCTTATACCAACAAACTGCATGTTGTGATTGAAACAAGTAGAAAGACTGATTTTAATATCGAAATAAATTACTTAAATATGAAGGAAGAAAGAAAAAAACATAAAAAGAAGTGATAGTACTAGCAAGGCACTTTATAAAACTACGAATGGATCAAAAGATTTATTGAGTGGTTTCTTACCACTAATCATTCTTAAGTTTGATATAGACGTGAAATTTTGGGCACTACTTCTTTGTGAACACGAAATATAAATTTGCTAAAAACTGCTAAAGTAGGCTTAAGGGAAATGCACAATCCAAGGTCCAACATACATCAGTTAACAATTACTTTAACTCGGAAAATATTAAAGTAAAATGTTTGTTGAGTGCTTAAAGCAGGCTGAGCAGAATATGTGAAAAGTCACGCAATGCGACGAGACTGGAGACATTAAGACCAACAAAAAAATATAAAAAAACATTTGAGCAAAAAATATCCTTTTCGATAAATTCCTCTTCTGGCTCTACAATTATATATATATATGTTTACATACTTAGAATATTCTAGATTAGTAGTCACTAACAATATTAGTGTTGAATAGATGTGCTCAAAGAAATCTAAAAAGTGTCCATCTGGGGAGTGATTGCATAAGCGCCTTTAAATGGATAAAATACAGCAAAGTGTTTGCATCAAATATCATTTAGCTCGTGTTCTGTGTGATAAAGAAAGCATTAGGCGTGACACTTATAATTCATTAAATAGTCAGTAGTACAACTGGATCTCGTCTTTCTAACTCACATCATCAATAGGTACAACATTTTCTTTTTTTCTTTTCTTTTTCTCTCTCTTCTTTTTCCGTTATGTGCTGCTTTGTTTCTTTCTCTCGCTTACGCCAGTAAATAAGACAGCTCCCACTTTTCTAACACCTTCAAACACTGTTTCAGCTTTACCTTTGCTACCGACATGCCAATGTGTTGTTGTAATAAGGAACTGTGGTTTCCTTAATCTATGTAGAATTCTATTTATTGATAATGTACTAACTGGATGCAATACTGCAGTAAAAATGCTGAGAATTCCATTCTGTATCACATGTACTGTTTTGGAATAAAGCAAATTATTATTATTTATTTAAAGTGCCTAAAACGAACTCTGAAACAAAATTAATCTAATCTACATTATAATTTTCAGGACTAGAGAAGAATGCCGTACGCAGGTTATATGTATGAGTTAACCCGAAATCATAGACGTTAATAGAAGTCACAATAGAGAGAACTGCAAGAAGCAAAGACAACTAAGCAATGTTATTACTGTTTGGTAAATTACTAAAGCTTTCCTTTAACTGAAAAATATAAATCTTTAAGAGACCAAGAGCACAAATCGAAGTCTTGACCTTTAACAATCCGAGGCGAAGAAGCGAAAGTAGTTAGGATAGCTGAAAAAATATTGGAAGGTAACAAATCACCTGGCCACTATACTGCAAAATCATATCAAGTAGTGATCTTTAATAAGTATTAACGAAATGAATGTTGACTTTAAGGAAACAAGCAGTAGATTTAACAGTTCCTGGAGCTGAAACCTAGAAGCATTATCCTGTAGTGCAGAAAGGCCTGGAAGCAAGGTGGAGACTAATTTGTCATGAATCAGAAAGAAACAGCCTTTTCCTCCATTTTAAGTGATTCTTCCATGTGAGAAATGCATTGCATTGAATTATTTTACCACAAATCATCTAATTGTAAAGCTCAATTATCAATTTTGGTAACATCATAAACCAGGAAATTCTCATATTCATTATCTGGATGATGAAGTTTGTTAGAGACTGATCTGAAGACAACTTTTTGTCGTTCCTGTGAAGAACATTATTTAATAGAACCTGAATGTGTCTTTTACGGAAACAATGCACGTAACATTTAAAAAGAACTTATTCACCTTCAAATCTGTCCCTCATAAATGCCATTTTTATTAAGGATTTACAATGGTTTTTAGTTTCTAACTAAACATTAACCGGGTCATAGAGAAGGTCGTGGTTTTTATAGCTGATTGTTTAGAAAACTCCAAAATTTCCACAGCTGCCATTTTCCGAGTTGTAATAATCACATGTTTCAATAAAATAATTGAAGTTGATGACCGAATTACAATGCTTTGCAGTCTACTTTTAACAGCTTGAAAACTACCCGTTAACTCAATAAACCAATTCAAAATTCAGCTGTAATATCCTGGGAAACAGAAACTCACTTGCTGATTCAAAGTTTGTTACTTGTGATTCATCATGAAGGGTTATAAATGTAGTTGATTCTAAGACATTCGCCGATAAAAATGACTGTGTGTCGTCGGTGTGACTTTGATTTACCCGTGGAGATGGCTCAGACAAACATTGTATGGTGATAAACTGTGTTTCAGAACTGTCGTCTTCTATCATAACTCCTTCTGAAGTGGCCACACGTCCAGATATGAACTCTTCACTAGATGATGAATCATTGTGTGAACCACTCCTCGTAGGCAGAGCTAGGACTCCGTCACGATTACTGATGGCAACCTGTCATGAATGATTATGCAAAAATAAATACTTTGAAAAATGTCAAACAATTAGTTTTGAAGTAAATGATAGAATTCACTTATTGGGTTTTGTGACGGTCAGTGCTGTATAAGAGGAGTTTCGATAACGAAATAAATCAGTTTAGGAACTATTTCAAACCTCAGAGGTAAACAGGTGTTTTACCTCTTCGTGGAGAAACTCAATTAGATTTTTCGAATGGCATTCCATGTGTATTTTTGAAGTATTAAACACTATGGCGTTATAGCTATTCATGTCCAGCAATGAAGGGAACATATCCAGCCGTTAGGTGAGCCTCAAGCTTCCTAAGGACCAGTTTCAAATCTATAAGCCCACCGTCCACGTAATCACTGACTATATATACTGATATAATTGTTGGAGTGCAGATATTGAGGAGCAGTAAGGAGAATTGTCCACAGTATATCTGAGCATATTTCACAGAACTTGTGACTGATATGTGCAAAAGTCTTCAGCGATATGATCACTCAGTATGTGATGGATAACAATCATGAATCCGACATTCCGCATTTATGTTGATTAGTGAAAAAGGTGATTCTCAGTTAACTGTATACCGCATAAGCAGAATTTTTCAGACTATATGGACTGAAGTTTATATTCAAAAAGAAATTAATCTTTCTTCGCCATGAGGAAATATTTAGTTTTTGTTTGTTTGATCATGTTTCTTTTGACAATCATTTTACACTCTTGATTAAACGTGGTAAAAATACTTATGTATATATACATATATATATATATGGTTAGTGAGTATTTTTTCGTTGCAAAATTACAGTGTTGGTATTTTGAAGATTATTATCTCCCAAGCTTGACGAAGCAATAAGTATCAATGCATCTTATTATTACATTCACCTAGTCAGAAATCAATGCAATACCATTATTGTCACTGAAGATAAATGAACAGAAGTACTGTGTCCCAAGACATGTTGATAAAGGTAGTTACACTGTTACTACATGACCAATCCCAACACCAGAAGTGGTTATGTAAACCTACTCAATAAAAATAGAATATAAAATTTTTTCACCGTATAACTAATTTTAAAAAACAAGTTATTTTAAATCGCACTACAAAACTTCGACAGAAGCGTTGTAAACTCTTTTAAATTCATATTTCAATCAGATGGAAGTTTTAGGTGACGTTGATTCTACTTCAACAAGCATCCATCTCACATCATTGTGTTCGATATTTTGAGGGGAAAATATTTCTGAAGTGAAATATATTACTTCATCAGTGATGCTGTTGATCTAGATATATTCTGAAAACCCTTCTACATTTATAATGCTGTTCAATGTTACTATTACACTAAACTTTTTACAAGCAGCTTGTATACTGAAGTTACTTGGTGACAATGATAAACATTTCTGAGAAATTTATTGTTAATTGACTTCAGCTTAACTATTTTATTTATTCTTCATTTTTGATTACAGCTTGATTCCACAGAGTGTTTTCAGTACAAGTATGGAACTTTCAGCATGGATATCGGTAGCCCAAATTTACAGGCCGACCATAGATATCGGGTGTGCGCCGGCAGGGATCGAACCCCGGACCATGAGCACGGTCGGCGAGAGTCCTAACCACTGTGCCACCGACGCCACCGCTTGTAGTGTGAATTTGATACAGGTTTTCATAAAAAGACATCAATCACACACACAAACACTGGAGTATTGTTTAGCTTTATTTGAATACTCTTTAGAAATGTACAACCACCAAGTCTACTTAAGCCAGCACTAATTACAGACCACTTAAGGAATATTACATTTCGGCTTATTCAGCCTCTCCAATTATCATGTGGACGAATCAATATAAAGAATAAATAGTGGGTTTTAGTGATCATTTATGTACACAAAATATTCCTCTTCAAAACTAAGCTTAGAATTATCTTTGTGGGATGTGGTAAATCTAAACCTTCAAGAAAAATCATTTTTGTCTCCATGTCTCAAGATATTATTGTATACTGATTTTGACTCTATTTCATGCACCATGTTATACGATAATTGTTCTTTTGCTCTTTAAGCTTCGAAATTTGAAGATAGACGCTTCATTACAAAGTTGGATATTTCAGTCAACACTAACCTGATTAGAATTAAAGCTGAAATAACACCACATAATTTCATCATATAGAAATCTATCTGAATAATTATATCGTAATTTTAAACTACTGAATATTAGTTAGTAATTCAAAACATTTGTGCAGTGCTATCCTTTCAATGTTAAATAAAAAGTGGCAGTGTAAATGGTATTAAATACTTACAGCCAATCAGCAGGAAGCTCTGGACATTTTTATTTTTCCTGAGATTTATCAGCAAAGAATATTTACAGTCTTGGGGTAAATCACGTCTATTAAAGTATAATTATATTTTAATAGTTTACACACAATGATAAGTTTTGTTATTGGTAATATTTCGAGCAAAATTACTGCCCGTGTTCACACCAGTGTTGGAATTGTTTGATCAAACACGGGCAGTAATTTTGCTCGAAATATTACCAATAACAAAACTTATCATTGTGTGTAAACTATTAAAATATAATTATACTTTAATTGATCTAATCCACAATGCTCAAACTTTTTACTGATATTAAATCACGTCTGTTTTTTAAATCTGCATCTAATTCATTGTGCTGAGGCCGGGCTAATCTAAACATGTCACAAGTGAGTAATGTACACAAAATATTGGACAAATGGTATCTCATTTAGCTATTCTTTACTTAGTATTGTTCGAAATGTATCCATGGATTGTGTATAGTATTTACATGACATCATTTCTGATAGGTCGAAACTATGAAACACACGTCGCAATGCTCAACATCTTTTTGTCACCTAGTTTTGTAGGCACATCACATTCAATGTTTGTTGATCTAGAATAGTCCATATTAAGGAATGAATGCCAGTGTTTATCAACTTTTGGCTAGTTTATACGGAGTAAAGTTTATATCATGGTACTAGGAACTTTAAAGAATTTTACAGCATTTCCTGCAGTAAGAGCAACTGGGTCACGGGTTGGAATTTCACTCCAGCTCGTATTATCAATCCTGACACGTTAAGTGTGGATCTTAGCCTGGTACATGAAAAATCTAATCCAGGTAATTGGGACCACAACAACAAGCAACTACAGTGAACACATTACCTGTTCGCTTTTATATCTTATAATCAGAAAATGAAAATCACTTAATTATACTGGACAGCATCGTCCATATTCTCTTTTGTAGATTTTTTATTCACAAAAGGATTTATGCATTTTGGTAATATTGTCAATGAATGTTGTTATAGTATTGTCTTACATTTTATGGCAGATTTTATATTAGTCTGTCTTAATCGCGTATATTTTTACCTTTATTCTCCGTTTCAGTATTACGACAGATTTACTTCTTTTCTATACCTACTTTTTCTTTACCTTCTGTCAACTTGTATAAAAAAGCAAGAGTACTTTGTATAACTCTTATGAGCATTACAAATGTCCGCAACACTCTAATATTAGTTTTAACTAACCTTAAACTTTTTTGTGAAGTGCTAACCTGACCTATATGACATTCCATATTATCTGAGACTAGTATTCTGGATCTATTCAAACAACACAGCTTTAATAATATGGATGTTAGATTGCAAATTTCCCCTATTACATAACAAAAGTTAGATGTTGGTGGATGGTCAAGTTTCTACATTGATATTCTTTAATTGTTCAACGACTGGAGAAAACAATGATGAAATTATGAGGACAGGTTGACACATCAAGTTGTCATTTATTGAGCATTCAAAGAACCATTAATGTAAATATCCTACTTATCCAATAAATATTCTGCATTTTTTCTCAACGAAACTAAGCTTCAACCAGCTAAACTTACATTTCGGCATACTATCAGTCAGGATACGTTTATGAGAATATTTTGAGATATATTATCAAAAAATTAAACATATTACTAATACTCACACGAGGCAGTATACCTCTGTATTGGTTTTGAGAACCTGGTGAACTATTAGGTGTACTGAAGTTCGGACCAGTTCTGTGATCATTCATGGAGCCTTGGCTGTGTATTGATCGGTTGTTACGACTATTTATTGGCGTCGGATCACTTGTATTAGGACGAGATTGATTGGTTGGACGGCTGTTGGTTCCTGAATTCAATCTAACGTGACTGACTGGCGTAGTTTGATTTGAATCATTTGTCCTCAAAAAATCCGTAAATAGTGTACGTGCAGTTTCACGCAAACTTCTCAGACTACCAACAGATATGTTGCTTGAGCGGGGAGAATCCTGATCTTCACACTCTCTGTCTGTGGAAGTGATGTGCTGAGACCTATTCAGTCGAGTGTGTGATCGACGTGAATTAACGTCTTGGCTCTGTGAACTTTCGATTGAAGAAGGTTGTAAGTGAAGCCTGCTAGCTAGAGTGCAAACATTTAAACAACTTGATGCTGCTGGTTCATCAGCTGATAGTACATTAGCGGTAACTCGAAGTCGACCTTCACTGCACTGTGTTCTGCTTAAAGTATCATAAACCCCCCCATCACTTGCAAGAATTCTTCGTTGAAAAATGTTGTCATCCTCCACAGTCCTAGATATCTGACGTCGGCGGGACTCGAGATCCTGTAGATTAGTCCAATTTGGAACCACAGGACTTATCTCACAATCATGTCTTGCTGCAACTGCTATCTCTATACTTGAATCTCCGGTTGAACATAATCGATCAGAATACTGTCTCAGATCAGCTAGTAATGGAAGGTGGTCAACATAATACGCTCCGCCTTTAGCAGGTCGTATTGCCTATTTCAAAACAGTATTGGTTTAGAAATAAAAATACGTTTAGTTTGCAAACTAAACATTAACAAAATTTACTAATTTAACAATGCAAAATTTAAAAAAGATGCAGGTTGATATTATTCAAATCACAACTAATAGATTCTTCTACTAATAAGTGAGAGTGATTTTGTAATAGGGAATTCTTTAATTATTTTTAAATTCCCATTTACGCATTTAGAAAAAATAACAGATTGGAAATCACTGAAATCGTCTGAAAACCATGTTACGTTGAAGATCCTCACCGAGTAATCGAAGTATAGCGCAAAACTCAGTGAAGCAAAGACACCTATAGATATAATCCATGAATGTATCGAAACAGCCCACTACCCCAAAACTTCCTAGAATTCGGTACGTCGTTCCCGAGTACAACCAAACGCAAGAACACTTAGGCGTCATGCCGTAAATCAGATTGACGCTTTAATTATTTGCCTTCAATTCCTACAGAGTTCAAAGGAAGCATTGAATGTTATTATATGGGTTCACTGTTTGACAAAAAACTCCATTTTATTCATAACTGTCACCAAATAAGTACTGGCTGAAGTGGTTACGGAAATTATGCTGGTTAACTTTTGTAGAATCTATCCTTATTCAACTTCGCTTTGTATTTATTCCATAATATGATGAACATGAACTCTTGGTTTCACATCCTTTTTAAACTACATTTGGCGAGAATAAATAAATAAACTGGCATTAATGTAAACAGTTATCCATGTCAATAGCCTAGTATTTTTTAGTAGTTTAGGCTTGTTTTAAGTGAGTTTCAATTTGAAAAGCTGAATAACTTGACTTCTGTTGCATGCTTAAAGTCAGAAGTAGTTAAAGTTGATTCATAGATTATATTTTGCAATTTTGCGGCATCACCTTTTTAACACACTACTCAGTTTAACGACTTTTCACTTTTCTAATATATATATATATATATATATATATATATCATATACATATTTCCATTAATACAGGTATGCAGAGTGTTTTGTTCTGATACAAAGAGCCATATAATGAGACAAATATGAAAGTGATGCCATATGCTAGATATTCAACTACCATTAACTATGTTAGAGAGACAAACTGTATTCTTAATGCTTATGGTAAAAATCTCCACCCACTAGATCTATTGTCTCTTAAGAGGATATTGAATTGCTTGGGATAATAAGAAACTCTTCTCGTTACCAGTAAAAGTTTGATTTATTGTTGTACTAATAAAAATGGTAGCATCACAAATGCTGTAGTAATGACTGCTGTGGTCGTGTTGCAGTACCATGAAAGGTAATGAGCTTCCTTAAAGACCTTCTCACTTTTGTAACCTCCGCTTGAAATATCTCTCCATGAATTTACTGAGAACTTTTCAGTGGCTGACAAAATACCCAATGGCGTTTATGAACCCACTCAAAGACATCCTAGAGACAACATAACCTGCATCCAGACAAGGCGCCACACTTAGTAACTGTGGCCCAATAATTTCATCAGACTAACTGATGGTGTAGAAAACGAATGTAAATAAATAGCTTATTGGATAAAACATTTGACAACAAAACGCCGAGGGCATCCAAAATTTACCGTTTATCGAAATGATCAAATACAAGGATGAGTATCGATGGTTCAGCATAATTTAACACTAATGTGATCTTTTTTAAACTAGTTTTTGTGAATTCATAACTCAGATTCATGAGGTTAAGGTAGAAACATATAGTTATGGTGGTCGCCATGAAAGACCATACCGGTTTGTGAATGCATTTGCATCTAACTGACGAACTGCATGTTCATCTGCAAAGTTCACATATTCTTATTCCAAAAAATAAGTATACGATAGGACAGATTGACTATCATTGTTAGCCGTAAAATCAATCAGATATTGATTAGTTATCTATGGTTTAAACCTCGCCTAGATTACTAGGTCACTAGTATTCTAGCCGGTCCCAAGCCCGGATAAAGAGGGAGGGTTGGGGCGTGGTGCTAGCAACTCCACCCCCAAAACTTAACCAAATTGCTACTAAAACTTCAACGCACAAATATATTCAATATTCTAAAAATACAAACAATAACCTTATTTTTCGCTGGAATCGGGGAAGTGAAATGACGCGGGCTGGTGAAAGCCTTCGGGAAGCCAGTCAGCCGATGTGCCTTCTTTCGATGAAAGCGAAAATAAGGATGGGGACGTGGAATGTTCGTACAATGTACGAAGCTGGGAAGGCTGCTCAGGTAGCCGCAGAAATGAGGAGATATAGAATAGAAGTGTTGGGAATCTGCGAGAGCAGATGGAACGGATGTGGAAGGAGCCAACTATCAACTGGAGAGACAATAATCTACTCCGGTCACCCAGAGGACAATCACGAGCACACCGAGGGAGTAGCCATCATGATGTCACCAACAGCGGCTAAAGCTCTCATGCAGTGGGAACCAATCTCCTCCAGGATAATGACAGCCAGGTTCAACTCAAAAGGAAGGAAGGTTACAATCATTCAATGCTATGCGCCTACAAACGTCTCAGAACAAGAGAAGGAGGCCTTCTACAGAAAACTACAAGCAGTAATGGACAACGTCCCAAATGACGATATCAAAATCCTGATGGGTGACATGAATGCGAAACTGGGAGGAGACAATACAGGAAGAGAGCTCACCATGGGTCTAAAGGGCCTCAGTGAAATGAATGACAATGGTGAACTCTTCTCAGACTTCTGCGCCTTCAATGATTTGGTGATTGGTGGCAGTGTGTTCAAACACAGGGATATACACAAGGCAACATGGATTTCACCAGATGGACACACCAAAAACCAGATAGACTTCATTTCAATCTCAAGGAAGTGGAGACGGAGCCTACTGGACACAAGATCGAGGAGAGGAGCAGATGTGGGTTCAGACCACTATCTAGCACAAGGGACTTTCAAGGTGAAGCTGAAAGCCTCGAGGATAGCTGGGGATAGGCCACAATGCAAGTTCAACACTCACAAACTGAAGGACACAATCACACAGGACATTTTCACTGCAACTGTCAGAGCAAAGCAGGAAACACTACGTGGCACCACTGAGGAATCATCCGTGGAAGACCATTGGAACTCTCTGAAGGTAATTTTCAACGAAACGTGCTCAACGGTTTTAGGAAGAAAGAAGAAACAAGACAAGGAATGGCTCTCAACAGACACTTGGAAACTAATAGAGGAGAGGAGAAAAGTGAAAGAGAAAATGATTCAATGCAAAGATGGACAAGAGAAAGAGACGCTGAACTCAACTTACGCAGCACTGGACAAAGAAGTGAAGAAGAGTGCCAGGAAGGACAAAAGACAATTCTACGACAACCTGGCTACTGAAGCTGAGAAGGCAGCAGGCAAAAGGGACCTGAGGACACTATATCAGATAACCAAGTCTCTATAATGGATAAGAATTTATTTTTAAATCACACAGTGTAGTACAGTTATATTAACTGATGACGTTTCGAGCACAAACTATTGCTCATAATCATATCAAGTTACTCACACAACTTCTTTATTTCATTTATATACATGTGTGGAATCGACTAGATATTGGAATAAAATTCAATATGAGATAATGTACATTCAGAAATAATAGTACGAATGTTATTAATCCATTGCAATTAGATGGGAAATACAACGAGTGTTTTTACAGTCATAATAAGTTGATTGATAGAATGTTTTTGATGTGTTTGAATGGAAATAGAATACAATTTAAGATTATTTATTATCCGCTTCTGATTTGACTGGTGGCAATAATACGAGTGTTATTAATCCATTGCAATTAGATGGGAATTACGACGAGTGTTTTTATAGTCATAATAAGTTGATTGTTAGAATGTTATGATGTGCTTGAATGGAAATAGAATTTTAAGACTATTTATCTTCTTCTGATTTGACTGGCGGTAATAATATCTTCCATATTTCTGTTATTTGCATTGAGTCACTTCTGTTGCATGTGTTGGGTGTAGACTCGATGAATAAGGATTCCGTAATCAACCTCTCTTTCCACCTACCTATATTACTTTTTAGAATTTTAACCCTATCCTACCCTATTGTGTGGTTGTTTGTTATTGCGTGAAGTGCAATAGCTGAGCTTTTTTCTAAATTACTTATCTTTCCAGGGTCAATCATTTTCCCTTTAGCTAAATTCTTATGTTCTGATAATCTGACTATCCCTGACCTACTAGTTTGACCTATGTAGTTGACTTCACAGTCATTGCAAGGTATTTTATAAATTATATTATTTTGTTTAATGGGGTCCAACGGGTCCTTTAACCTACAAAGTTTGTCTCTGAGTGAGTTTGTTGGTTTGAATGCCACCCTAATTCCTGCTTTATTGAGAATCCTACGTATGGTCTCAGATGTCCCCTCCTTATATGGTATAACAGTAGAAGACTTATATTCTCTCTTATTTATGTTATTACTACTAGTTACACAATTATTTTTATTTTGTTTTTGGCGTTTACTGATCTTCTTAATGAATTTTATAGGATAGTTATTCAACACCAACGCTTCTTCTATCTGTTTTATTTCGTCATTTAGGTCCTTTTTTGTGCTACTTAGTGCTATGGCTCGGTTTGTCAGACACTTAACCAAGCCTGCCTTAACAGTTAACGGATGAGATGAATTAAAGTCTAAATATCTATTAGAATGCGTTGGTTTTCTATAAACACTAGTGTGTAGTTCGCCTTCTTCTATTCGTTTTATCTTACAGTCTAACATGGTTAATTCTCCTTGTTCATTTTCTGATTCAAATGTGAATTTTATTCCTTCTACTTGTGAGTTTATATGTGTTAAGAAGCTAGAGATATGTTCTGTTTTTAACACTGTGAATGTGTCATCTACATATCTCCACCATATTTTTGGCCTAGGATTAAATGTATTGAGAGCACTATTTTCCCAGCTGTCCATAAAGATGTCTGCTACAATAGGGGATATTGGTGATCCCATTGCTACACCTTCTGTTTGTCTATATATTTTGCCTTGGAACTTGAA